CTCTTCCGTCGTTCTCTTTTCCTCTTTTTCTCTCATCTCTCTCTCTCGTCTTCTCTCGCTCGCCATACCGCGGGACTTCCAGTGCCAAATACAACAGGTGGACGCCTCGTCGTTGCTGTCGTTGGCTCATCCAACCAATTGGTCGGTGCGCTGTAATAATATTAATCATGCCATCTTCTGCTGCAAAGAATTTTGCGGTAATTTTCCAATGTTCCGGAGGGTTATCAGTGATATTTATTTCAGTGACTCGTCTACCCTACGTACAGCTAGATATTAGTTATATAGCCTTATTATACTGATGAATTTCATGGCATTAGGGTGCGCTGAACAGAACAACTGTTATGATCCGCTGTGGCTTAGTGGGCTTCCGTGGTTTCAGGGAACTACGCACGTATGGATAGATGGATGGATGGATAGATAGATAGACGGACGAACCGCCCGGACTAACGGACGCACGTATGAATAAATGGAATGACGGATGGATAGATAGACAGACAAATCGCCCGGACTAACGGACGCACGTATGGATAAATGGAAGGACAGATGGATAGATAGACGGACGAACCGCCCGGACTAACGGACGCACGTATGGATAAATGGAAGGACAGATGGATAGATAGACGGACGAACCGCCCGGACTAACGGACGCACGTATGGATAAATGGAAGGACGGACGGCTTGACGCACGGGCGCCCGTTCGCACGCATCTATGCTTACCGATGTAGCAAACAAGTACAACACTTTTTTACTACTGCTGCTGCTGTTGTCGACGTCCTTGCTGTCGTAGGCTCAGTCCCAACTACGATTCATTCGACTCAGCCTTTACTCGCGATCAGCTTATTTCCTTCTTGTACCCTTTCCTTTCCGCGTATACGATAAACCCCGAACCACGAATACCGGCACGTGCTGCCGTCCGACTCAACACTGTCGCATCTCATATTAACAACATCCTAACCGTACGATACGATTTCTCGCTTTTATCTGCTACACGAATCTTCAGGGCAAAGTTCTCGTCGTGACGTCACCATCTCGACATCGTGTGGATTTAGAACGGAATAAAACTATAGTGCGCGCACCCTTCAGTTTAGTAATGTCGAATACTGTGATGCATATGTGGGTCGTGGGGAGTTAGTGTACACGGTACGCGTTGTATGCTCGCCAGTACTCGTTAAATACACGGTCGATGTCGAACCAATGATCGCCTTTTTAATTCGGCCTAGCTCTTCTGCAACTACGATCGGCGATTGCCAGGCAACAGGCAGATGCTACGGCAAACATTTGCCGTTAACCATTATGAAGTTGGTGAAAGATATGTTTGCTAATGCGATGACGCGAAAAAGCTTATCCAAATATTATTTGAGCTCCAAGTGAAAGTGTTAAACGGGCTGGTAACGACGATGGTAGCTGAATGCATGTAAGAGCACAGGCTCAAAAACATTTCTAGTTATCATAACGGGAAGTGCTGCTTCTACTTCTACATTATAGTTCGGCGGTTATATGGTTGGTAGGTGTGTGCGTCTCTCTTGTTCTGTGTGTGCGCGCGCGTGTACGCATCTGAGAGCATTTGTGTGCGTGCATGCGTGCGTGCATGCTTGTGCAGACATTTGTTACGTGTGTGCGTGGGTCCATGTACGCGTGTGCGGACATTTATTACGTGTGCGTACGTATATGTGTACATGCGTGCGTGCGTGCGTGCGTGCGTGCGTGCGGCACTTAGAAACTGACATTAGGGTTGGAAATTTACGATAAATACAGAACAGAATAAATTATGCAGCTTGTAGTTTAACAACCATCCATATCAGTAAAAATGGAAAAATAATTTCAGAGAGGTAAGCGATCTAAGTCTACAACATAGTGAGCACAGACGGACTGAACTGTTCTCTGCAACAAGCTAGTAGCTGAAGGAATGGATACATACATATGCATTGTATAACACACATACATA